CCTACGGCCCCGGGGGAAACCGTGCAACAAGGCCGGCCTCAGGGAGGAGGCCAGATGGGCTCTGGGGCCCACGGGCGGAAGAGGAAGCAGCGCTCTGGCGGTCTGGGCTCGCCCCCGCCCACCCCCCGCCGGCCTCGCCTCCAGAGATGCCGCGGGGTCGTTCTCGCCGGCCTCCCGCGCTCGCTTCTCCCGTGGAGGTGCTGCTCTCCCACGGGCTCCTTGGGGCTGCTCTGGAGGTAGGAGGGGGGTGTGGTGTAAAGGGGCGCGGTGCCACTGCTGAATCTGGCGATTACCTATCGTAGGCAGCATCGCCAGTTCCACGGTTGGCACCACACCCCTTCATGGCACACCCCTGTCTGACCTCCACGGCTGCTTTTCTGCATTGCTGCTTGACTTCGCAGGCGTCGGGGCACTGCACCACCCTCTCGGAGGCGCTACTCTCGCTTACTCGGTGGGCGGTTTTCTCTGCACGTGCCATCTTCTAAAATGCACCGTGCTCTTCGCCCTAGACAGCGTGCTGTGACCATGCCTCAGAGACCTGTGCGTTCGGTCGACTTGTTGTTTTCGTTCTGGGAAGGTCGGTGAGCGTGGATCTGGTGCATTGTTGCTTTCGACATGGTTCTTGGCTCGTCTCATTCCTCCTTCCCTTTTTGGCACCGTTCCTGGGGCCCTACTACTGTGCCATTCTCGTCCAATCCAGTGGCCTTGTGCTGTGCTGTCCCAGAAGGGGGGCTTCTATCTTGACTTGGACGTGGAGTTGGCCGTGCCGCTCGAGATGCTCGCTGCTGATGGTGCCACTTACGTCTCGGTGGGGGAGGGGAGAGTCTTTGTCCAGTGATCAGTCGACGTGGATGGTATCGAAGACGCGAGGACGCCTACGGCGAACCACCGCCGCTCCCCTTCCTTAGGAAACTTGTGTATAGTTAAACGTTGGGCCAAAGTCTTGCTAAGCTATTGGGCTATGTGTTTCCCTGGCCCTTGTTGAATGTCTTGGCGGAACACATGGGGGAGGATCAGAGAGAGAGAGGACGATGCTGCTGTTGTTGATGATGATGATGATGACGATGGCGATGATGATGAGGCTGCTGCTGATGATGATGATGACGATGACGATGGTGGTGGTGGTGATGATGACGATGATAAGAACGCTGACAAGGTTGATGATGATGATGGTGGTGGTGGTGGCGGTGGTGGTTTTGGTGGTTGTGATGGCGATGATGATGATGATGACGATGATGATGATGGTGGTGGTGGTGGTCGTGATGATGATGCTGATGATGCTGATGATGATGCTGCTGCTGATCATGATGATGATGCTGCTGCTGATGATGATGATCATGATGCTGATGCTGATGATGATGATGATGACGATAATGATGCTGCTGCTGTCGATGATGATGATGCTGATGATGATGATGATGCTGATGATGATGATGCTGCTGATGATGATGATGATGATGATGATGATGATGATGATGACGACCAAGAGGATGAGGAGGAGGGGGACGAGGACGAGGAAGAGGAGGAGGAGGAGGAGGAGGAGACCTCTTGGGTGCCTCTTTGGTTCCTCTTGGTGCCTCCTGTGAGGTCTTGGAGATTTTTTGGGCCTTCTTGGGGCCTTCTTGGGGCCGTCTTGGGACCTTCTTGGGGCCACCTTAAGGCCCTCTTGGCTCGTCTTGGAGTCCTCTTAGGGGCTCTTGGGCCGTCTTGGGGCTATCTTGGAGGCCTCTGGGGCCACCTGGGATTGTCGGAAGCCCGAACAGGCGAGAACGTGAACATCATTCAAAAGCCGATGGAAAGTCTATGATTTTGGCCTCCTCGGGCCCTCCTGAAAGGCCTCTTGTAGCCCTCTTGGGCCGGCCGTATCGGGGGCCTCTGGGGCTGTCTTGGAGGCCATCTTGGGGCTATTGGATGCCATTTGGGGCCTTCAGACCGTCTCGGAGGCCATCTTCGGGGCCATTTTCGGTGCTTGGATGCGGAGGGAGCTCCTTTCCAGTTTTCCGGTTCGCCTGCGGGTTACGCTGGATGTCTTCTGGAACCTTTTTGGAATGGCCAAGAGAGTCTACCCGAAGACTTGGCACCCCTTCGCAAGCATACGGGGGCGGCGGGTCATCCAGTGGCCACCGGCCCATCCCACCTCTTAGAGGTCTCTTGGGGGGCCTTAGTATTGGGGCCTTTTGGATGCTTCTTTCGGGACTCTGACTCTTGGAGGCCTCTTGGGGTCCTGATGGGCGCCTCTTCTAGAGGTGGTCTCGGGGGCTATCTTGGTAGGAGGGGATGGGGCTGGGGTGGGAGTCTGGTGGGGTGTATGCTCCTGCCTCATGCCACTGCTGGCTTGGGGCCGTTCACCCCGCCGCCATCACCCCTGCCACCACCGCTGCCACGACCCCCATCGCCATCACCAACCAAGAAGGCATAGTGTTTAAGCAGGTGACATCAATCGTAAAGAAGGATCAAGCTTGCTTCGGGCGTGCTGGTGGTGGTGGTGTCAAATCATGCACGTCGTTTTTTTTGTCGAGTTCAGTTCCCCAGTCGACGAGAGTCTCACCTAATTTGGGGACTCCCCCTTTTTCTGCTTGGTCAGTCAAGCGCCTGATGCGCTGTACTGCGTCGATGGTGATCCTCTCTTTTCAGAGTCCGGCCCAGTTTGTTGTAGTTTTGTTCCGATTCTGCCTTTTTTGTATGCCTGCCGCGTATATGTGTGTCATAGAGCTGACGAGGGAAATCTGTCTGGAGATTTCGGTGTGTGTATTATATATATGTATATATATATATATATATGTATGCATGTATGTCTGTATATATATGTATAAAACTATTTATACATATACATATACATATGTATGCATGTATGTATGTATGTATGTATGTATGTATATATATATATATATATATGGACAGCTTCCTCCCCAGCACCCATTCATCGCCTTTTTTCTCTTGACGATGTTGTGGTGCCGTGTTCCCTTCCTTTTCCGTCCTTTCCTTCCCCTTCCTCGCTGGCATCTTCTCGGCTCCACTCGAGCGCGAGCTCAACGGCAGCGCACTGTAGAAGATGCACGCGGCGCCACCCCATCGAAGCGGGAGACCAAAGCTTGTGGCGACCATTCCTCTCACACGATGGACCAACGAATCCTATGTTTCCATAGAGATCTTGGCGATTTTTGGTTTGGGAATCACGGAAACCATGTGATTTTACAAACATTTTTGGAGTTTTTGTTTTTTGCTACCTCCGAACGAAAATCAACGCTGCAGCCCCCGAGGGCTTCGACTTTCACAAATGTGAAAACACAAGGTTTGGCACCCCCTTGCTTCGCAAACCTTGTGTTTTCACATAGATTTTTCTGGAAAATTGAAGCGTCGATTTGCGTTCAAAGGTGCCCAAAACCAAGAATTTCAGAAATCTTCTGTGAAATCATATGGTTTCCGTGATTCCCAAACCAAAGATATCAAACATCTCTGTCGGAAAAACGCAGGGTTGGGGGCCTTTTGGGCTCCGGAGGAGGAGGGGGGTGAGGAGGAGGACGAGGGGGAGAGGGAGGAGGAGGGGCAGGAAGTGACGCGGCCCAGAATGGATCAGCTGCGCGAGAGGAGCTACAACAACGACGACTACTACTGCTACTACGGATGCTACTACTAGTGCTGCGAGTACTCCTACTACCTTTTCGTCTCCTACAGCAACAACTACTACTACTGCTACTGCTACTGCTACTGCTACTACTACTACTACTACTACTACTACTACTACTATTACTACTACTACTACTACTACTACTACTACTACTACTACTACTACCACTACTACCACCACTACTACTACTACTACTACTACTACTACTACTACTACTACTACTACTACTACTACTATTACTATTACTACTACTACAACTACGACTACCACTACGACTACTATTCGTAACGCGAGTGCTGCGACCAAGACTGCTGCTGCTACTACTACCCGACTACTGCTACTACTACTACTACTATTACTACTACGGTTACGAATGCTACTACTACTACTACTACTACTACGCTACTAGATTGGTGCTGCTACTACAACTACAAGCGCTGAAATTACCACCGCTGCTGCTATTACTACTAATGCTAGTATTTTTGCTTCTACTACTACTATTACTACTGCTACTACTACTGCTACTACTACTACCATTACTGCTTCTACTACTACTACTACTACTACTACTACTACTACTACTACTACTGCTTTTGACGCGCCCATTATCGCTGCGGCTGCTACTGCCACTTCTGCTACTGCTACTACGACTGCTCCTGCTACAAGTGCTGCCGCCGCGACCGCCACTACTATTACGATTGCAATGCCCGCTACAACTGGGGCTACGACTAGTGCTACTGCTACTACTACCGCTACTACTACTATTACTACTACTACTACTACTACTACTACTACTACTACTACTACTACTACTACTACTACGGCTACGACTACTACTACTACTACTACTAATACTACTAGTGCTAGTACTCGTTCTACGACGATGACTACTCGTACCATTAATCGTGCTACTACGACTATGACTACGACTACGACTACGACTGCTACTGACGACGACGACTGCTACTGCTACTACTACTACTACTACTACTACTACTACTACTACTACCACCACTGCGCCCGCTGCTACGACGACTACTATTATTATATCCACTATCTCTACTACTACAACCACTACTACTGCTACTGCGATTATAACTATTACTACTGCAACTGCTGCTGTTACTGCTACTGCTACTGCTACGGCTACTACTACTACTACTACTACTACTACTACTACTACTACTACTACTACTACTCTTACTACCGCTGCGACTACAACAGCGACTGCTCCTACTACTACTACTACTACTATTACTACTACTACCGCTGCGGCGGTTACTATTGCTTCTTCGACGAATGAGCTAATGTTGCGACTGCGGCTTCCGCTGCTGCTTCATCTCTAACTGCAATCACGACTGCCTCGTCGACTGCGACCGCTGCCGCAACTACGGCTACTGCGACGACGACTACTACTACTACGACTACTACTGCCACTACTGCTGCTACTACTATTACTACTACTACTACTATTACTACTACTACTACTACTACTACTACTACTACTACTACGACTACTACGACGACTACGACTGTTACCACTACTTCTGCGATGACTACTACGACTACTACGACTGTTACTTCTACTACGACGACTACTACTACTACAATTACTACTACTACCACTACTACTACAACTACTACTACTACTACTACTACTACTACTACTACTACTAGGGCGACGTAGACTACTATCACCAGCGCCGCCGCTACTACTGATCCTATTATTATTATTACTACTACTACTAGTCCTGCTACTACTACTGCTACTACTACTGTTACAGTTTCTACTACGATGTCTATGGCTACTACACCTATTCCTATAGAACCACGCGCGCTTCGCGCGCTTAGGTTCCAGCGAGCTCCAGTTGTAGTCCAAAGTGTTCGGCGTCGGAAGAGGGGTATCAGGACCGGGAGAAAGATAGGAGGAATAAACATGAAGGATATCAGGAAGTGGATTGGGGGGGGGGGGGGGCAGGAAGAGGGAGGGGGATGGATCCACGCAGTGAGGACCGCTGGGGAAACAGGCATGAAGGTGAAGGAGGCGTGGATGGGGGAGGGAAGCGTGAAGAGGAAGGGGGAGGAGCCAAGACAGGCAAGGCGTGAAGAGGATGGGGGTGAAAAGCATGAAAGACAACAAGAACTGGATGTCAACGACCGATGCAAAATGAATAGGTGCTGGGGGGGGGGGGCTGCGCGTATATTATGTGTATGTTTATGTTTATGTTTATGTTTATGTTTATGTTTATGTTTATGTTTATGTTTTTTGCTTATGTTTATGTTTATGTTTATGTTTATGTTTATGCATGTATGTATGTATGTACGTATGTATGTATATGTATACGTATATGTATATGTATATGTATATGTATATGTATATGTATATGTATATGTATATGTATTTGTATATGTACATGTGTGTGTATATGTATATATTCATGGATATGTATACATATATGTACATATTAGAGGTGACATATAGGTATGTGTATATATGCATATATGTATTTGTGTATGAATTATGTATGTGTACACACACAGATCCACATACATATATATATATATATATATATATATATGTATATATGTATGATATGCTGGGCTGTCGGGGGTCCAGCCCCAGGCCAGGAAACCCTTTTGGATGCCCCCCCTTTGTCGGCGCCGGAAATGTGATCTGGACCCCCTCCGGGGCCTCCCGGGCCTCCTTCCACCGGCCCATAACAGTTGAGGAAGGTAGGCAAAAGCAACCAGAGCGGCACAACAGGGCCGACCACGCCCGAAGATTGCTTGAAGACGGCCCAAGAGGCCCCGAAAGGGCCACAGGAGGCCAACATTGCTCCATTCCTTAAGGGAAACGTGCATTTTTCGCAAATTCGCGTTTTGGGTTTTTTACAACGTCCAAGACGGTCCAAGAGAACCCCAAGATCGCCCCAAGACGGCCCGAGAGGCCCCCAAGAGGGCCCCAGGACGGCCCGAGAGAGTTCCAAGACGGACCAAGATGCGCCCAAGACAGCCCAAGAGGGCCCCAAGAGGGGTCCAAGATGAACTCGTGCTGTCATTTCGAGCCCTCCGCCACAAGGGAACCCCCCGAGGCCGCCAACAGGCCCCCAAGAGGCTCCGAAGGGCCCCCAAAGAGGCTCCAAGAGGCCCCCAGACGGCTCCCAAGAGGCCCCGAGAAAAGTCAAAATTCGCTCCACGAGGCTCCCGACAAGCATGCCAAGAGACCCTTAATGGCAGGTATCCGCGAAGCCTTTGGCCCAAAACTCAGGCATGGTGGCAGTATGGGCCGAAGGACATAGATCCGCCGCCCCTTGTTGATTTATCACAGGGGTGCCTGGCGTGCTCGATCCTACGGCTCGGTTTTGGTTCTTTTCCAAAAGAACGCCCCCATGGGATTCGGCGCACGCTGCCGGCAACCCAGAGCTCCGGGCGAGGTGGTCGCAAAGGATTTTGCCGCTCGGGATGGCTCCAAGATGGCCCAAAATTAGCCTCTCTGGAATTAGCCTCTCGAAGAACCCGACCCTTTCTCAAACCGAGGCGGCTACGAGCAGAGCCGCTTAACGTTCGAGAAAACTGTGGGTGGCCTGTGGTACCCTCAACGCTTCGCCAGAAGCGTCAAACCACACTGAACGTGTGAGGGTTGTGCCGAAACGGGGCGGCCCCATGCGAACGCAGCCACTAGGGCCTTCGGTCTACAGGACTCGAGCTACACGGTGTTTTGGCGATTTCGTGGCCCTTTTTCGTTTTGATTTCGTTTCGCAGCAAAGGCAGAATGAAGACAGAACGAAGGAAACGAAAACAACACGAAAACGAAAAACACTGTTTAGCTCTAGCCCTGGCTCCCTATGGGGGATCACGAAACGGAGGGGTGGGGAACAAATGTCGCAGGCATGTTCGTTCCCAGATGGCCCCCGGGCAGGCCAAGGCCAAGGGCAAGCCAACCTTCCGAACGGACGGACTGGGTGCTCATTTTTTTTCCTCGCTGGCACCTCTGATTTGGGATCGGGCGCTGGCAGGCTTGGGGGACAAAAGCATCGAGCTTAACGCTTTTTGATGTCGTTTTGTCCTGCACTGCGGAGTCGGTCCCCATTGAGGGGGATCGTGCAAGGCGGACTCTAGATGCCGTGTGCCAGCCACCCACAAAGCCAGCTGGCCGGCACGACAGCAGGCCGACGCGAACACATGCAGCACAGCCGACGCGAACACATGCAGCGAGTCTACACCGGCTTCTCCGCCCGTGACGGAGACACTTGGTAGAAATGACGCGCGATTGGAAGCATCCGCTCCAACTTCAAGCTTGCTTGTTGCGTCAGGCGATTTACCTCACGTGCATCTTTTTCCGAGTGTCGCTACTCAGTTTGCACCTTGTGTCGGACTGCTCTCAATGTGTCGATGGCCTTGTTCCGGTGAGTTGAAGGGGCTCCTTCAGGCTGGGAAGCCGTCTTGAGTCAATACACATTTGTCGTTACGCATTGCGTTCTTCTTTTACTTGGGCTGATACATCCAGGTGCTATGCAATGCGCAGGGCTGCAGTGACGAATGCAGATGCTTCTTGATTTCCCTCCTCATTGGGAGTCAAGAGAAAGGGAAACTTGGGAGCGTGCAGCCAGACTTTCCCATTTGCATGGTCATGAATCTGAATTTGCCCGCGCTGCCAGAAGCGTGTCCTCGGCCAGCTCTGCAAGCACGGCATCACAGGCAGTATGTCACCTTGCATCGTCAAACCCGGTGCTTCAGAAGAAGGTTGGCGGTGAATTGATGTTGACACCGCACCCAGTTTCCTCATCGCCTTCTTCGGGCATGGTTGCGCACAGGTCTGGAGGTGCTGACATGGCCCTGCATCCAGTTCGCCATGCAGATCTTCATCCGCTGCTCGAGCCAGGAGTGCTCGAAGAGTTTGCTCAGACAAGCGAGGGCCTGCCCACCACTTGGCGGATGGCTTTCGCGGCAGCGAACCACCTGCGCAGAGCTGCCGGCTTCGATGGCCTTCACGTCTACAGCAGGGAGTGGAGCGAGCGAGGGCAGGCTCATGCCGAATACTATGTGGCAACGGGTCACTTTGGCCACTTCGAAGTTGCAGCCTCGGACTGGTATACCGCTGGAGGCAACGCTGCGGCGGGGTGCAGTGGTCTCGCTTACGACGGCCGGAATCCGCTGGACGTCTTTTGGGCATTGCTGGAGGGACCCTTCCACCGCCGTCAGTTTTTGCACTGTGCGGCCACCTCTATGGGTGTTGCTTATCACAGCGGTGGCAGCGAGCACCGAGTTTGTGGGCTCTTTCCCTGCGAGCCCCACAGGGATGCAAAGTGGTCATGGCCCGAGCGCTTTCTGCTTTGGCCGCCTCGAAGCTACTTGCTCGCGCCCGGTGCCTTTCATGGTGAAAGCCCAGATCCACGGCCAGACGAGTTTCGAGACCGCCAAGTCACGGGGCTCATCGCCAGCATCGCTTTCACGCAGGAGGAGGACGTCGTCGCCTTCGCCGCCTTAGAAGAGGTACGCTTCACGGACTTGTGCACTGGTGAGCCCATCGCGTTCTGGACGCGCGACCCTTCACATCCTCCGCAGGTGTCAGCGGAGGAGTGGCTCAGGCTGTATGGCACCGAGAAGCCCCCCAGTGGCAATCATCTGGAGTGTCTGCGTGAAATCTGGGTGGGGGCGGTCGAACCGCTGATGCCTGGCCACGATTATGCTCTTCACGTTTCCTTCCAGCTTGCAGGCGAGATCGATAAGACGGTTGTGTCTTGGGGCTTTGGCGTCGCTCCCGCCCTAGATCACAAGATCGGCATGGACGGGGCCTGCTCGGACAGCCAGGCTCAGGAGGAGTTTCAGCTCAGCGTCAGCATCTGTGGGCGCGGCGATGCGATCTCGCTGGGGCCTGGCACGTTCATGCTGCCTGCGCATTGGTGGTACGGCCAGCCCAGGCTGATCGAGGGCCGCGGGCCGTCGCACACGAGCATCGTCTACGGATCCCAGGAGGCGGTCGGCCGGGCAGTGGTCCGGACGGACCTGACGTTGTGCAGCCTGAGGCTCGTCAACGATGAGCACGAGAGTTTTCTTTGGGTCGTGCAGCCAGCGAGCGTCGTGCTGAAGGCGGTGCAGCTCGCCGCGCGTGGGCCGGTGAGGCGCTTCCATGTCATGCAGGGGGCAGCGTTGAGTATGCTCGGCTGCGACCTGCGTCAATATGGCGGGGAGGACAGGTGCATTGCTTACGTGCAGAGGGGAGGGCATGCCCTTTTCGAGCAGTGCCGCGAACGCAAAGTCGAGGACCTCTGGGTGTTCAGTGATGGCAGCATGTGGCCCATCAAGCCCAGCATCGGCGGCTCGCTGCGTCGAGCTGCTCGTGCTGTTGGGCAGCTGTGGAGTCGCTTGTGACCTCCCTCCTCCTGGGTTTTGCCTGGAGGCACGCCGCTCTGGGGCATCGTCTCGAGCGGGCACTCAACAACGTTTCCGCACTGCCAGTCTTCAGTCGGGCCTGTCCCCCTACGGGGGGATTTTCGACGAAGCATAGAAAGTACCCCACACATAGTCAAAAAATAGTCCAAAAATAGTCTGGGGATTATTTTTGGACTATTTTTTGACGTTTTTGGAGTATTTTTTGGGATTTTTTTTTTTTTCGTTGAAAATCCCTTTGTAGGGGGACACGCCCGACTTAACGATAAGCATGTGCTCACATGCCCCGTTTCGCTCGTCTGTGGTTGCCCAGCCAGGGCCAGAGCGAGAATTGTTGGCTGTCCCAGTCGGATGCCGTGGTCGTGCCAGGAAGGGCTCCAGCACCACTGTGTTCGAGTTCGCGTTTTGCAGTCGTAGGCCGGGGAGTGTCTTCATGATCGAAGCGTCAGGGTCGTGCGGCGGCCGTGGCAACAGCTGGCGTGGGGTGGAGGTGCGGTTTCGGGCCATTTCGGGTGGTGGTGGGTGGGTGGGTAAAGCCGTGATGGACGCTTGGTGCTGGGGGGTATGGGGGTGCGGATGAAAGGCGGGGGGGGGCGGAGGGGGGGGGGAAAGGGGCTGGTGGGGGAGGAGCCTCGGGACCGCTGGAATGAAGTGGGCAGTAGGTCAGTTTTCCACAAGAGGACACAATGGCCAGGGAACAACGACAACCGACGAGTGGTGACAAGGAGGCCAGCTCAAAGCTCACAGAAGTCCAAGCAAAGCTCACGCACATAATATATGCTACAAGCACACCGTTTCATGGAAGGGGGTGGGGTGGGGGCGGCGATGCGGGGATTTGTCTGGTGGACATGGAAAGCCCGTCTGTCGTGACTACCAGTGAAAGCTTGACAGAAAACCGTCCTGAAACGACAGTGACTACTACCTGATTTTGAGAATTGTCGTAAACCATAAAAAGGTGAACTGGACCAGGATATTTTCAGGAATGAAACCATTGGGGTCCCGATTTGGGTTTGAGCGCGGGGCGGCGAGGTTGTAGTAAGTGCTGGAACTGCGTGGAGAGCTGTGCGTAAGGGAATTGGGCAGACGGATGGTAGTGTTTTTTATTGCCTTTTCCAATCACGCTGTCTTGCATCTACGGCAGGATTTGTAACAGCTGTCTTGAGTTATTTGCTGTTCGTGTGATGTCCTGTTTGGAAAAAGGGAAGCCAGCATCATCAGGCAGAAGTTCTGGTGGATGGACAGTCTAAAAGGCATTGCTGGCATGGCAGATCAAGCTTGGCTCGTGGCCAGATCAGACAATGTCCGCATACTTTCCTTTTCAGCCTTAGGAGCGTCCAGTGCGACCCATGAGGTCCACAAGACCGCCACCACGACAGCCTGCAAGCCCCCAAGAGGGGCCCGGCTCCCTGGGCCTCCAAGTCGGCCCACTAGTCCCTCAAGAGAGTCTCAGGACGACCCCAGAGGGACCACTTCAGGGCACGCCTGGAAGCTTGGGCTCGACGCGAGGAGAAGGAGGAGGAGGAGGAGGAGGAGGAGGAGGAGGAGGAGGAGGAGGAGGAGGAGGAGGAGGCGGAGGCGGAGGCGGAGGCGGAGGAGGAGGAGGGAGGAGGAGGAGGAGGAGGAGGAGGAGGAGGAGGAGGAGGAGGAGGATGAGGAGGAGGAGGAGGAGGAGGAGGAGGAGGAAGAGGAGGAGCGAGCGCCCAGAGATCTCCTGGATCTCTCGGAGGCCTGGGCTCCAGCACTCCGTGCAGAGGGCTCGAGGGCACTCCGCTGCGTGTCCAGTGGCACGGCGGCGGTCCTCAGCAGAGTGCGCTGAGCCCGCCGAGGGCGATCTCGGAGGCCCGCTCTTTGGGGGTGCTCAGGGGGGCCTCGCGGGGCCCTCGAGGGGCGCTTCGGGGCCGTCTTGGGCGCCTCGTGGGCCGCGTGGGGGCCGTCCTGGGTCTCTTGGGGCCCTCTCGGGGGGCCCTCTTCGGCGGCCCGGGGGCGCTCCTGGAGCCCTCTCGGAGCCGCCTGGGACGCTGGCGGAGCCGGAGCGGAGTGGCACACGCCCAGGACGACGAGACGAATGATTGTGGCGCCCTGTCGAAGTCCGCAGTGGCGTGAGGCAGCCACGATGTTCAGCATGTATGGTTCTCCGTGAGAGGTCAGCCCTTCCGAAGCTCATTGCGCATGCTGCAGGGGCCGCTGTCGTCTGCGCGTGCCCGTCTCGCCCAGCCGTTTTCTGATCTGCCAGGGGCCATGCGGGCTTGTGGGCTCTTCAAGGTGACACCATTGAAAAGATGCAGTCTGGAGGGACACTTAAAAAAGGAACTGGGCAGAGGCAGAGAGAGAGAGAGAGAGGCCACGACGCGACGTCGTGCAGAACGGCCCTCTGCCGCTGCGTCTTCTCGGACGTCGGGATCTATGCATATCACCCCGCCCCTGCTGGGCCCTGGATCGGCGTATACGACTCCCTGGCCAAGCCAGGTGGGCGTATACACCGCTCCTTGGCCCAGGATGTGCCTGACGAGGGAGGAATCTTATACATATTGCTGTACATGTATGTGCATGACGAGGAAGAGGAGGACGAGGATGAGCATGATGACCTCGTTTGGGTCTGCTGATCTGCCAGCCCCCTCGGAATCTCGGCAGAGCTGGAGGCCTTTACCGAGGACAACGCCGTTCTGAACGCTGTGCTCGCCTGTACGCCAGGCAGTCCTATCATGCTGGACGGGATCGGGTGCATCAGCAGAAACTTTGTAGGAGCTCTCAGCTGCGTTCTTTCGATTCGTCCCAGCACCATGGACCGGCAAGCTGCTTGGTTCCCACTTTGCCGGGGTCTGCAATGGATGTTCGCTCACAGTGCGATTTGGGATGGCAGCCGGCAAACCACTGTTTGTGGCTACGTGAGCTGTACATGTTTCGATCTGGCTCCTGAAGCAGTGACTACCGTGGCAGAAAGGAGGGCAGGGTGTCAGGGCCAGGGCGGAACATGAGGGGCAGAGTGTCTCAATTGGGGGGGTCCGAGGGCTGAAGGTGTGGGACGACGTGGGGGCCGGGTGGGAGCCCGCTGGCTGTGACGGGGTCGGGGCCAGCGCTCCGCGGCACACGGAGGAGTGGGGGGCACGAGAAGAGCAGTCCCGGGGGGGCGGGGCTGTCAAAGTCAGCGAGGTGGGGGCGCGGGGGACTGGTCCAGGAGGTGACCGAGAGCCACGTTGGCACTGGGTCCGAGGGTGAATTGCACTGGGCGGGGGCTCACTCTCGCACGCATCTGGGGCCAGCGGATGATCATCGAGTAAATAATGACGTGGTGGCCAGTAGAGAATAGTCGGATACGCGCCCTCCGCCGCCGGCTCCTCATGCTGTGCACAGGTCAGCACAGCGCAGGGAGACAGCACGATGTTTCAGTTTGGCGTCCCGAGCGGGCCAACGGATCATATCAACGTCTTCCTTCTTTGGGAAGGCCAGGCTGGACACTGCAGCGCGCGTGGCCGATGTGCGACGCCTCGAGGCAGAGAGAGCTCCCTCGTGTGTGTACGTGCCCGTACCCTCTGTCTGTCTGCCTGCATGCCTGCCTGCCTGCCGCCTGGCTGCCCGCCTGCCTCTCTCTCCCTCTCTCTCTCTCTCGTTTTTTTTTTTTTTTTTTTATTTTTTTTGTTTTCTCTCTCTTTCTCTCTCTCTCTCCCTCTCCCTCTCTCTCTCCCTCTCCCTCGCGCTCTCTCTCTCTCTAGATATATGGAGACAGGGGTGCGTACATACGCTGTAGGAGCACGCGCGGCACGGCCCCGCCGAGCACCCCCCTCCCCGCGCGCGCGTGCGGCGCGGCCAAACCCCCGGCAGCACCCCCGCGCGGTCCCGCCGAGCGCACCGTGCGCGCCACCGTGCGCGCCACCGCGGCCGCCGCGAGCCGCGCCCCAGCACGCCGGGGGCCGCCGCTTCCCCGCGGCCGCGCCCCTGGCGCCCCGCTGGTGTGATCGGCAGCGCGCCGACGGGGGGAAGCGAGTAGTAATAATAATAATAATAGTAATAATAATAATAATAATAATAATAATGATAATAATAATAATTATAATAAGAATAATGATAGTAATAATAATGTAATACTAGTTATAGTAATAATAAGAATCATAAGAATAATACAATAGTAACGATAGTACTAATAATAATAGCAAGAATAATAATCGTAATGGTAATAAGAATATTATCAGTGCTAATATTATTCACATGACTAATGAAAATACGAATACTAATAACAATGGTAATCATAATGCTAATAATGATAATTATAAGATTAATTATACGCATATTATGAATTTGAATAATGCAAGCGATAAGCCAAATAAACATATTTTTTGGGGTCCGGCGCGGATCCAAGACATCCGCGCGGAGCGCCACAAGTTTATGCTTATGCCCTTGTTTCCTGCCTCCAGGGAAGGCTGAGGGCCTTCGGAGCGGGCTGGGGGTCTAAGGTTGCCTGGCACTGGCTCCGGCGATAAGGCGGGGGTGGGGGCGGGAAGAGGTTCGAGGCGTTTGGTTCGGGAGTGTTTTTTCATTTCTGTTCGGCCTCCAGGGGCCGTTCTCGGTTTTTCTCCGTCAAGCACCGATCCAGGGTGACAAGCTGCACCAGACGAGCCCAGGAGGGGTTGGGGGACCGATTTTGAGCGGATTTGGTTCCATCCCCTCTCCTGACATATTATTTGAGGCCCCATCCAGTTCATACCCCTGGCCGCCTCCAAGAGGGGGTCGGTCTTCTCAGAAGGCGGCGGGGCTTCTCAGAAACCTCGCTCCTTTTGAGGGGCCCTGAGGGCCTTCGAGCCACAGGCGGCTTCTCAGGAGGGCGCGAGGGTTTCGGAGAAGCCCCGACGTTTCTCGGGAAGGCGGGACCCCTCTGCCTTTCTTTCCGGGCGCGCCGCTGATGTGAGCCACGCGCCCACCACCGCCCTCAATCTGGTCGGTTATGTCCAGCGCCGATCCTTGACCGCCCTGGGGGCCTCTTCGCAGCA